ACAACTAAAGATCCCATGTGCTGCAGCTGAAGAAAAAGATCCCGCATGCCACAACAAAGATCCCGCATGCTGCAACTAAGACCCAGTGCAGCCAAATAAATAAATAAAAATAAAATATTAAAAAAAAGGAAAGATATGGCCAATTAAAAAAAAAAAAGAACATAAAGGAGGACTCACATTACCAGATGTCATGAACAAGCTATGGTAATTAAGGCAATTTGGTATTGGTGCAAAAATAAACTGGGCAGGGCTTCCCTGGTGGTGCAGTGTTTAAGAATCCACCTGCCAATGCAGGGGACACAGGTTCGATCCCTGGTCCAGGAGGATCCCACCTGCCATGGAGCAACTAAGCCCGTGCGTCACAACTACTGAGCCTGTGCTCTAGAGCCCGCGAGCCACAACTATTGAGCCCACGTGCCACAACTACTTAAGCCCGTGTGCCTAGAGCCCATGTTCCGCAACAAGAGAAGCAACCACAATGAGATGCCCGCTTACTGCAAAGAAGAGTAGCCCCTGCTCACCGTAACTAGAGAAAGCCCACGCAGCAAGGAAAACCCAATGCGGCCAAAAATAAATAAATAAAATTTTAAAAATAAACTGGGCAATGGGACAGAACAGAAAGTCACCTGACCTTTGACAGAGGAGACACGGCAGTGCAATGGGAAAAGAATGCTGTTTCAATAAACAGTGCTAAGTCAATCAGACAGCCAGATGAAAAATGTGTATCCTGACTCCTACCTCACACCATGCACAAAAATCATTCCAGATGGTTGGCAGATCTAATTATGAAATATCACACAATACTACTTTTATAGGAAAATACAGAACAGCTTTGTGACTTGGGAGAAGGCACGTGTTTCTTAAACAGGACACAAAAAGTACTAACTGTAAAAGAAAAAAATGGATAAACTGACCTATAGAAAAATTAAGAACTTCTGTTCAACAGAAGACATTAAAATAGTGAAAAGGCAACCCATGGAATACGAGAGTATCTGCAGTGCTTATATCTGACAATAAACTCTTACCCAGAATAAAGAACTCCTAAAAATCAATTAGAGAGCTCTAGATAGATAACCTGACGGAAAATGGGCAAAAGACGTGAACACATCTCATAAAAGAGGAGCTCTGGATGGCCAATGAACATACAAAGAAATGCACAGCTTCACTAGTTGTCAAAAAAAAAAAGCAAAATAAATCCACAATATGCTACCACCATATACCCATCAGAACAGCCAAAATCCAACAGACCAACAATGCCAAGTGTTGGCAAAAATACGGCAAAATGGGGACTTCCCTTGCAGTCCAGTGGTTAAGACTCCACACTTCCACTGCAGGGGGTATGGATTTGACCCCTGGTTGGGGAACTAAGATCCCACACTAACATTCCACTTCTATAAACAAAGTACAAATACAGCGGTTGTTTTTTTAAAAAATAAAAATATATGGCAAAATGGAATTGCCATTCGCTGCAGGTGGGAACATCAACTGGTAAAACTACTTTGGAAAACCAATATTACCTACTAAAACTACCACACTCCTACCTCATGCCCAGCAATGCTACTCCTAGGAACTTACCCAATATAAATGCATATGTCTGTAACTGACCAGGACCCTATGGGGCCTTCCTGGAATAGACCCTGCTCCTTCCAATGTCCTCCACCTGCCTCTCTGTCTATAGAAAAACTTTAGTCTCCAAGGCCTTCCCTGAGTTTCTGAGAATACATTTAATCAGAGAAGTGACAAATACAGAAAGAAAGGAGAATAGCCAAGCAAGACAAAATAATAATAGTTTAGCCATTAAACAAAGTCAAGGACCTTCGGTTACTCCTCAAGGGCTACAAATAATATTCTGAGCTATGTCCTTTGAGCCATTTCGCAGATACTAAAACCCCCACCAGGTGGAAGAAGTTAACTGCATGCTGCCCACTAGCACATAGACCCCAGACCAGTTGGAACCAGAAGGATGACGATGTTGACTCCCAATTACCTCACCACCAACCCATGAGAAAAATGTCCACGACCTGACCACGCACCCTGAAACCTCCCTCCCTCACCCTGTCTTTAAAACCTTTCCCTGAGGGACTTCCCTGGTGGCGCAGTGGATAAGAATCCACACTCCCAATGCAGGGGACCCAGGTTCAATCCCTGGTCAGGGAACTAGATCCCACATGCATGCTGCAACTAAGAGTCTGCATGCCACAATTAAGGAGTCCACGTGCTGCAACTAAGGAGCTGGCAAACTGCAACTAAAACCTGGTGCAGCCAAATAAATAAATGAATTAATAATAAAATAAAACCTTTCCCTGAAAGCCGTCAGGGAGTTCGGGCCTTCTGAGCATTAGCTACCTAGACTCCTTGCTTGGTCTTGCAATAAACGCTGCACTTTCCTTCAGCACAACTTGGTGTCAGTAGATTGGCTTTACTGCATGAAGGCGAGCAGACCCACGTTTGGTTCGGTAACACATCTGTGCATCAAAAGACACATACGGGCTTCCCTGGTGGCGCAGAGAGTCCGCCTGCCGATGCAGGGGACACGGGTTCGTGCCCCGGTCCGGGAAGATCCCACATGCCGCGGAGCGGCTGGGCCCGTGAGCCATGGCCTGTGAGCCTGCGCGTCCGGAGCCTGTGCTCCGCAACGGGAGAGGCCACAGCAGTGAGAGGCCCGCGTACCGCAAAAAAAAAAAAAAAAAAAAAAAGACACATACAAGAATGTTTACAGCACTAGCCATTATAGCTCCAAACTGAAAACCACCCCAAAGCGCCTCAACAGGGAAATGGATAAACAAATTCATTAGCTGAAATAATACTCAGAAAAACTCTAGGATTCCACCTGTGTGAAGGACAAACCAGGCAGAACTCGCCTATGGGGTGAGAAATTGGTGGTTGACCTGAGGAGGAGGGAGAGGACAGTGTCTGATAGAGAAAATGTTAGGGGTGACCAGAGTGGTGGTTCACTGGGCATGCTCACAAGCTGTACCCTGAGCAGTGCACTCTCTTGCTTACACTTATACTTTATTTAGCAGAGTTCCATCAAAGCAGCAGGGCCCACACCATGGGAACTGGGCAAGGGGTCCCTGTAAGGCTACTGTCTCCCATGGGATGCTGCAGCCTGAGGTCCATGAGGCAGAGTCAGGAGGGAAGATGCATGGAAAGTGGAGGGAGGATCCAGAGCTGACTGGAGCCCACGAGGATGGCCTGAAGCCCACATCCCTTCTTGTTGCCAAGGGCGACGAAGGTTTCTTGTAGCAGCTGGACTGCTTTGTCACACACCTGACCCAGGAGAATGGACTGAGGGTGGACTGGGAGGAGGTGGAGTAGTTGCCTGGATTCCGCTGGTGCTTGATGAGCTGGGTCAGCAGGCGCGCCACAAGGAGTGTGACTTACAAAAGAGGTTGCCAATTCCCTTCCGCCCTCCCAATCCTGCACAGGAATCTCTCTTGTGGTCCTAACCCAAAACACATTGGGAAGGGAATTCTGGGAATGCCTGTCAGCCTGACGGAGGCCCCACAGTGTGTTTCACTAACTGACAAAGAGCAAAAAATCTGAAGGCTCCTTACGCTGATGAGGGTGTAGGGGGCCTGGCAATCGCGTAGGTTGGTGGTGAGTGTCAGCGGGTACAACTCTAGGAGGAAAACAAATGTGTCGTTTAACCAGCCCATCAGACTTCCCCGGTGGCGCAGTGGTTAGGAATCTGCCAGCCAATGCAGGGGACACGGGTTCAAGCCCTGGTCTGGGAAGATCCCACATGCCGTGGAGCAACTAGGCCCATGCGCCACAACTACTGAGCCTGCGCTCTAGAGTCCGTGAGCCACAACTACTGAGCCCGCGTGTCTAGAGCCCATGCTCCACAACCAGAGAAGCCACCGCAATGAGAAGCCCTGGCTCGCCACAACTAGAGAAAGCCAGGGTGCAGCAACAAAGACTCAACACAGCCAAAAATAAATAATATAAATAAATTAAAAAAACAAAAACAAAAACCCCAGCCCATCATCTTGTGTGAATTTCCCCTACAGGTGAACCTGAACTTACTTACCAAGCACAACAGCGTTTGAAGAAGCAAGACTGTCCACCACCTGGGGAATGACTAAGTAAATTCCTCTGTTTGAGTTTTAAAATTTTCTAATTGTAGTAAAATACAAATAACACAGGACTCCCCTGGTGGGTCAGTGGTTAAGAATCTGCCTGCCAATGCAGGGGACACGGGTTCGAGCCCTGGTCTGGGAAGATCCCACATGCTGTGGAGCAACTAAGCCCATGCGCCACAACTACTGAGCCTGTGCTCTACAGCCTGCGTGCCACAACTACTAAGCCCATGTGCCACAACTACTGAAGCCCACGTGCCTAGAGCCCGTGCTCCATAACAAGAGAAGCCACCGCAATGAGAGGCCCGCGCACCACAATGAAGAGTAGCTCCCGCTCGCCGCAACTACAGAAAGCCCGTGCGCAGCAATGAACACCCAACGCAGGCAAAAACATATAAATAAATTAAAAAAATAAAACAAATAACAAAAACTTTACCGTCTTAACCATTTCTAAGGGTCCAGCACAGTGGCATTAAGTACATTCACATGGTTGCACAACCATCACCACCACCCCTCTCGACCTTTTCATGTTCCCAAACTGAAACTGTCCCCATTAATTGACAGATCCCAGGAGTTCCCTGGTGGTCTGGGAGTTAGAATTTGGTGCTTTCACTGCCACGGCCCGGGTTCAATCCCTGGTCAGGGAACTTGCCAAAAACAACAGCTCCCCATTTCCCCTCCACAGCCCCTGGCAACCTCTATTCTACCCTCTGTCTCTATGAATTTGCTCTAGGGACCTCATGTAAATGGAATCATGCTGTATTTGTCCTTTTGTGTCTGGCTTATTTCACTCAGTATAATGTCCTCAAGGTTCATCCATGTTGTAGCAGTGGTCAGAATATCCTTCCTTTTTATGACCCGATACTATTCCATTGTACAGACAGACCACATGTGATTATCCATTCACCTGTTGATGGACACTTAAGTTGCCTCCACCTTTTGGCTATCGTGAATAATGCTGCTATGAACATTGGAAGATCCACTGAATTTTTTAAAACCTTTTGCACATAGTATTTATCTTCAACACTGATGAAAAACATAAGGCCATCTTTTCACATCTCTGCCTGTTGTGTATAGCTCAGGGGACCAATTGCTGCAACACATAGACCCCAAAATGTACTATGGCTTACTCACAAGGGAAGTTTATTTTTTGTTCCCAAAGCAGTACTGGATGGGTGAACAGGTGGGGATGGGGAGATCCTTCCACATGCTAGGGACCTAGGTTGGCATGGCTTCCAGTCACCTGTGCAACATCGGGAGCAGGGGGAAGGGCCTGCAGGGGGTTGCCTGTGGAGGTGTTAAGGACCAGCCCTGGAACTGCCCCACCCCCTCCTGCTAGAAACCAGGCACATGACTGCACCGACTGCAAAGGGTGCTGGGGAGTGTAGTCCAGTGCTTTCGGAAGGGCACCCGGCCTGTGTGGCTGCAGAGTACCTACTGGGCCTCACTTCTCTAATGGCTTCTGTCCTCTGAAATTCAGCTGGAACCAGACTCCTCCAAGAAGCACCCACCTGGCCTCCTGCTCCCACAATGCACTACACCGATCACACCCTCCTCCAGAGCAGCATGGACCATGGGGACAGGGGTCTCCCAGCAGAGGCCTGGCCCGGGGCAGGGACTCGGTCACCTGGGGCTTTGTGGGAGGAAGCAGCCTGGCAGAGGGGTCCCTACTCCCCACATTGGTCCCTTCCCCCCACATCAGCCCCTTCCCACTGTTCAGCCAACAGGAGGCCCAAGTGGGAGGCTGGAGGGGAAGTGGTGCTTCCCCTCCTCGGGAGGCTAGAGGCCTCTGTTGGTGGGGCAACTGCCTCTGTGGTGAGGGCCCCACACAACCGCATGTTCTCTTTCTTGGGGACCTGGCCTGGCTCCTTGGCCTCCCCCACCCTTTGTCCCTCGCTGGCTCCTATTTCACTTCCCAGCTCTCTCATTACCTGCATTTCCAAGTCCCTGGATTACTGTCCTCAAAATCCCAACTAGTACAAGGGACAGGGGACTGGCCGCTGGGTTCTGGTGCCGTCACTCCCTGGGGCTGTGGTTTGGGGAGACCACCTCTCTGAGGCCAGGGTGCCTACCGTTGATGTTTCTAGGGAGTCTCTGCCCAGCTCTGGGATCTTGTGCCCTCACACAGGCCCTGCAGCACCCCAGACTCCCGACGGGTCCCTGGGGAAACCCCTGCCAGGTGTTGGGACTTCCCAGCCTGGCCGGCCCCTGGCACTGGGAAGGCCTGACGTCTGGGGCCAGGGCCACGATGTAGCCCTTCTCCTGCCAGGGCAGCTCCAGGGCCTACCTTAGAGGGACAAGAGTAGGGTAGGGGGCCTGAGGGAGGCCATGCTTTACTTTCAGGATGAAGCCTGGCAGGGGAGGCACCTCTACTGCTGCCCTCCACGTTACTCCTCAGACCTGAGTGCACTGCCCATCCTCTGAGCCTTTGCCCAGGCTGTTCCTCTACCTGGAAAGCTCTCTGACCAATCACACCTCTGAGGCCAGTCTGGGAGCAGTGATGCTGCCCCTGCCCTCCTGCTCTGACCAGGAACCTGACCCTCACCCACCGTCAAGGGCCTGGCCCGGCCTGGCTCGGCAAGGAGGCACTGGGGCTCAGGTTGGTGGGAGGCCAGCCCTGCCTTACCTCATCTGCAGAGAGGAAAGTACCTGCCCAGGGGCCAAAGGGTGGGCCCTCAGCCCCCCTGTCCTGAGCTGGAAGCCCAGAGGTTGGGGGGAGGTGGGTGGGGTCTGGAAGGACAAGAAGCACTGACCCCATCCGCCTCCACCAGAGTCTCCTCAGCACCACCCCCAGGACTCCCAGCCCCCCAATCTCGTCTTAGCTCTGTTCAAATGTGCCCCACTGTGCACACTCCAGGAATCCCTGCAGACGGGATCTGCCGCTGCCCCTGCTCACCCCTCTGCCAAAGGTGAGGCTGAGGAGGTAGGGAGGCCTGGCCTCCGATCCAAGTGGTCAGTGCCAGCTGGACGACCTTGAGTAACCCATGCAACCTCTGAGACTGGGGGACGACTCGAGGTCACCCCCCCAGATGAGGGAGACGAAGAGGTGGGTCTGCATGAACCTTGGCCGGGGTTGTGACCACAAGCCTGCTGGCCCAACTGCACTGCTCTCCCTGATGGCCTGGGTCCCTGTGTAGCCTCCGCCTCCACTGTTCTTACCCTCTGCTGCCCCCACGTGGCCACTCTTGGTGCTGCGGTGAAGGGGCTTCACTCAGCCTCCCAACCAGGGCTCCAGATCTCGTGGGCAACCCCCTGCCCCTCACTCCTCTCAGGCAGAGCTGCCCGCCCTGGCCAGGGGGCACCAACCTCCAACCCCACACTCCCGGGTGCTTTCTCCATCTAACACCTATGATGCAAATCTGACCCCATCCTACCCTGCCCAGGCCTGCCCACAGCCCCCATTCAGCACCCTTGCTACAAACGGGGCAGTGATGGCATGACGCCTGGGCCCTGTACTAGCTTCTGGACACTCCTGGGCAAAGGGCTCAGGGACCGGGACCAGTTGGGCATCGCATTACCAGACTGCCTCTGGGGCTGTGACAGGGCAGGGTGGGGGGCCCAGGGCCAGGCTGCCAGCTTGCTTGCTCCCTACATTGGGGGAGGGTGGGCCGCCCAGCCCTGTCCCTTCTCTTGAGTGCCCAGCGTAGCACCCCATGGAGAACGCTTCCCCTCCCCGCCACAACGTGGTCATTGTTCTAGATCCCACTTTACAGATGGAGAGACAGAGGCTGGGGAGAGACCGGTCCCAGGTGACCTGCCGGTGGACGAAGCCCTCAGACCCAGGTTGCTCTGGGTGCTGTGGACCACACAGGGCAACCGTGGGACTCCCCGGAACCGAGGTGCAGCACGAGCATGAGGACACCAGGGAAGGAGCACCAAAGGCTTGTTTTCTCCCCCAACAGGCAGGGAGGGGTGTTTCAGGAGATGTTCCAGAGACTTAGAATTACAAGCCTGGAGCTTAGAGGGTGACTCTCCACACCCAAGTCTGGACCCACCTACAGTCTCAGGCCAGGCCCAGGGTCTGGGAATCAAGGCAGCTCGGCCCTGGGGCCCCCTGTTGGGGCACCACGACTCAGTATACTGGGAATCAGCATCATGGGCAAGGGATCTGAGGTACTGGTACCGGCCTTTGAATATCAGGTGCTGGAGTATTAGGGCTCGGGAGACAGGCCTCAGAATTCAAGGGTACGGAGTCTCGGGCCTGGGGAATTAAGAGGGGTATGTGGGGAACAAAGCCTCGGGAACTCCACAGTGACCGCTCAAGGTCCGGGTCTTTGGTGACAGAGCAGGGCACCGGGCTTTAAAAGCTCAGGTTCAGGTGTCCGTGTCCCAGGTGTATGGTGGTAGGGATTTGTGGATCCAAGTACTGGGGTGCACGTTCTTGGGAGTTTGGGAGGCTGGTCTTTGGCCCCGGGGAGGTCCTGTGTGCCCTTGGCCGCCGGACAAGCGTGCTTCCCTCAGGGTTGCGAACCCCAGACGGCCCTGCAACAGAGGCTGGGTCTAGAGCAGGCCCGGTGGTCCCACCCGCGCCCCGGGACGCCAGGAGAGCCTAGGAGGGGCACAGAGCCTAGGAGGGGCAGACGGGGGTCTGGGAGGGCGGGGGTCTCACGTGTTGCTCTTCCTGCGGCATAGGAGCACGTAGACGAGCGCGACGAGGGCCACCACCGCCAGGCCTCCAAAGATGACGCCCAGCAGCACCGCGTAGCTCCGTCCTAGAGAGGCGGCAGGGCGTAAGGCGTGGGTGGGCGCACACGTGCAGGGCACGTAAGCGGGGCGGGCGCGTGGGCGGGGCAATGCTGGGGGCAGGCCGAGAGCTGGTGGGAGGGGCCGGTAGGTGGGCGGGGCATCCTCACCTCGCTGGCAAGTCGGGGTGGGTTGGGACCAGGTGCCATCAGTCTGGCAGGTGCTGGCCTCGGCCCCGGCCAGGCTGTAGCCGCTGTCGCAGTGGAAGTGGACAGTGGAGCCCACCAGGTACCTCATGCCCTCCTTGTGCCCGTTGGAGGGCGGAGGCAGCCAGCCACAGGACACCACTGGGGCAGGGGTGGGGCACAGACGACAGGCCTGAGCTGCTGACCACAGCCACCAGCCTGGGGGGCCGTGTCCCAGCACCCAGTGCCCGCCGCCCTCACCCACCACCGCCCTCACCGGGCTGCAGGCTCTGCGCGCGAAGCAGGTGCTGCCTGTGGACCAACAGCGTGGCGTTGCCCACGCTCAGGCTCCCGGTGGCCGCCACGTCGAAGTTGCAGAAATTGTTGTCCCCACACAGTTTGGCCGCCTCACTCTCCAGGCTGGGGCTGGAGGTGGTCTCCTCGGGGAAGAGGGGCAGGAAACCGGGGTCATGCTTGGGCTGGAGCAGGAAATTTTCCACGAGGAACTTGGAGTCGTAGGTGAGCAGGGAGGAGGCGTTCTCCACAGCCCCTAGGGAGACAGCAGCAGGCCTGGCTGGTGGGAAGGCCTGGGGGCTCCCACACACACACCTCCACTGAGCACCCCCCAGCATGGTGCCCCCTCCCCTCCAGCCTGTGGTCACTCACAGTCAGCCCCAAACTGGAACAGTTCTCGGGAACTGGCACTGGGGGGCAGGACCTGGCCGCTGCGCAGGGTGAAGTCGTCTGAGGGGTTGTCATTGAGTGTCCCAAGGAGGCCTCGTGTGTGGGTCAGGAACTTATCGGGCAGCAGGACCGCCACACTCAGGAACGGACCCTGGACGCTGACCTCCAGGCCGGCCCCTGATGACAGCATGACTGATACTCTGTCCCCAGCAGCTACTGACAGGAACATGCCTGGACACAGGGGGAGCTGGGGTCAGGGCCGCCCCTGTGGGCATCTTGCCGTGACCCCAGAGCCCCGGGATGCATGGGCCGGCACCCATGGGCTCAGGGGCAAGGGAGGGTGTCCCCAGGGCCCAGCCTGCTATGACACTCCACCACCCCGGGTGGTGGATCTGAGGTGCCCAGGCCCTAGAGGGGGCCCCCATACCAGGGCCGTGCGTGGGGGTTGCCTGTCGGCCCTCACGCCCTGACTCCACCTCCCCATCTGCGTCCTGGACACCGCCTGCTTTCTGCCAGGGCCAGAGAGAGGTGTGGAGGCCCCAGCGGGGAGGGCAGGGGAGTGGGGCCCCCACCATCCCACTCACCCTTCAGGTCCATCCAGCTTTGCTCCTTGAAGCTGAGCACCTCCTGGTTCAGCAGCACCTGCAGGGCCCCCGCCCCATCCCTCAGCCGGACCTCTACCACATCTGAGTTGCCCTCCTGGACAGCCACAGCAGTCAGCCCTGTGCCTCGGTCCTGAGAGCCTGGGATGATGGGTGCAAAATGGGGTCCACTCGGCTCAGCCTCCCCCTCCCCAGGAATGACCCTGAGCCACCCAGAGCCCCAGGGTCCAGCCTCACCCTCGGGCGTCATCCTGGTCTGGGCCCGCGCCTGCAACCTCAGGTCAGTCCCAGAGGCCTCCAGCAGCACATACTCGCCGCGTCCGTTGAATGTGAAGTTGGTGCCATCGAAGGTGACAAAGTGCGGGTCCCCGAAAGCGGAGGCTGTGGAGAGCGGAGGGTCAGGCAGGTTGCCCTGGCCCCGCCCTGCCTGGGGCCTCGCCCTGGCCAGCACCTGCCCAGGCAGCACCCACCCAGGCGCGGGGGCTGGTAGCTGTGGCAGTCGCTGGAGGGCCGCCTCTGCATGTAGCGGGAGCACTCGGGCGCCCAGAGGCAGCAATAGTAGAAGCTGATGACGTCGTAGATCCAGTGGGAGAGGCCCGGCACACGGGGCGGCACGCGGTATGGGGGTGCGCCCCAGTCGTGGCCACGGTCTGGGGTGCTGCCACTGGTGGAGTCGGCTGTCAGGAGCTGTGTGCCCGCCGCCGTGTAGCAGCACTGCTGGCCTGAGCCATATAGGGGGCTGGGGACACAGGTCAGGGCCGCCTTGGCACCCTGCCCCCAGCCCCCACCCCGCACCCTGCCCACCGTCTCCGTGCTCACCTGGCTTGCACGGAGCGAACGCAGTGCACAGCCCCTGGGTGATAGGTGCACACGCTGCCGTGCTCGATGTCACAGCCGTAGTCTGCCTGCAGAGCGGCTGGTTGCTGTCCCCTGCACTGGCTTTGCGCTCTGTCATCCCCTCCCTGGGAGCCAACCCCTCTGGGGCCCTGGGCCCTCAGACCCCAGCCTTACCTCCCAGGTCTCTACCTGCCTCCCCCTGCACTGCCTTGGACGGCACAGCCGTGTGCCTAGTTGGGGCAGCTGGCCCCGCCTGTCCCCTCGCTCCCTCCTGGGCCCTGACTGGGGTGGGGGCTCACTTGGAAGCGGCCAGAGTCAGCCTGGGCCTGGGCCAGGGTGCAGGGGCAGTCGGGCACCTCCTCCAGGAAGTTGGGCAGCTGGTCCTCCAGCTCCTCCCAGGCCAGGCACTGAGCTCGGGCCCAGGCCACAGGGTCTGCCCGGAAGTCATCGCCCAGGTGCCAGGCTAGCGCGTGCTCGTTGCTCCAGAGTGCGTGCACGTCCCTATGGGGACACATGCACACTAGGGACCACCCTTCCTGCCCTCGGCCCTGGCTCCCCATCTAGCGTGGGGGCAGCAGGCAGACAGGCCCCAGCCCATCTGCTGCAGGGCGGCCCTTACTTCTCCCCTGCGTGGTGTTTGCTGTTGACAATGCGAAGGGCACCCACTTTCCACCTCTGGTAGTCTTGAGGTGCAGGTTTTGGTGTGAAGGTGAAGGAGCCGGAGTTGGTGATGCTTGTGGCCAAGGAGTACAGGTATGACCACGCTGCCGTCCACTCCCGGGAGTACGGCTTCCCTGGGGGAGAGAAGGCCTTGTCAGCCCCCGGGGCTGTCCGAGTCCGAGGAACCCCGAGGCATGGGGTGGGGGGGGTGGGGTGCCGGTCTTTGGTGCTCAGAGCAGCCTGGTAGATGGACAGAAGGGTAGACAGATGACCACCATAGGAGGCCCTGCCCTGTTTGGGGAGGGAGCCAGGCCCAGGGCCAGCCAGCCATCCAGGGGCTCAGAGAGGATGGGGCAGAGCAAGCCTTTTCTGTTTCCAGGATAAGCCTTGTATCCAGGAGCGGAGAATGGCCACAACTCCTCCTAGAGCTGGTACCCAAACAGCCAGGGCTCCCCAGCTTCCCTGTGCTGCTCCAGCCAGTTCCCCTTTCTTGCCTGCACTCTTCCCACTAGAAATCCCCACCTGGATTCCCCCCACCTGGAATCCCCTTTCTCCCATCTCTGCAAGCCCCAAACTCCTGACCCCACCAAGCCCCACAGAGGCAGCCTAGGGTTACTCTGCTGGCCTCACCTGTCTCCTCGTAGCCCCATAGCTCTACGGTGATGGAGTTTGTGGGCAGAGCCAAGGTGTTCCAGGTCAGGGTGAGGTTACCCTGGGTGCTGGCGGTGCCGTAGTACTGCCAGCGGGTCTCGTTCACCAGCTGGCTCTTTTCGGACTCTGACACTTTGCTGGGGTGCACTGGGCAGCGGGCAGGGGGCGGGGGTGAGGGGTGAGTGAAGGCCCAGGGCCCAGGGGGTCCAGGGGAGGAGGCCCGGGGCTCTTAGAGCTGTGGGGACCTCCCAAGGACAAAGCACAGCAGTCCCTCGGGAGCGATGCTCTCCCCCTGGCGGCAGGAAAGGGCAGGAACTGGGAGAGGCAGGGCCCTGCCCCCACCCATGCCCAGGCCTCTGTCCTCCACCTGGCTGCTCCCCTCCCCTGGCTGGCCGAGCCACACTCCCTCTGGGCTGGAACTCCTGCATGGGTGCCAGCGGTGGGGAAAGGAGCTTGGGGAGCCTGCACCCAGGGAGTCGGGCGGGCCTCCAGAGGGACAGGTTCACCCAGAGCAGGTGGGCCAGGTGTGCATAGATTAGCGCCACGGAAAGTCCCTGTGAGGGGCCTGGGCCCGGGAGGGTGCGGCCTGGTGCCTCCAGTCTGGACCAGCATGTTGGGTCTCACCAGCCAGCCAGGTGCCTGAGCGTGGGAAGGAGCGGCCATTGTCCATGGAGAGCGTGAAGGGGATGCGGCCGGTCTCATAGAGCAAGGGTGACACACAGTGCACTCGTCCCGAGGAGTCCACGAAGCCGCGGGTCTGGATGCTCTCCTTAAAGCTGTGAGTGTGGAGGAGGCAGGAGAGGCTGGGCCAGCGTGGGCTGACCTCTCTGAGGCTCCCAGCCTCCTCCCTGGGGAAGCCATCTGGCCAGCCGTCCCAGTCCTCTGTCCCGGGGGCCCCACCCAACCAGCCAGTGGGTCTGAGCCCCAGCGTGCACAGAGCCCTCGGGCCTCCCACCTGCAGATCACGCTGTCAGTGGGGTTGGACCAGTTGAGATGCTGTATCACAAAATCCTTGCCACCCATGATGGAGCCCGAGTAGGGCAAGATCTCCAGGCAGAAGTCCCGAATGTCCGAGCAGCAGCTGGCCAGGCCGAAGCAGGTCGGGTGGCAGGAGCACGGCCCATCCTGGACTCCACAACGGTAGGAGCAGCTCCCCTGGGCACCTGGAGGAGAGGGCCCTGAGTGCCCAGCCTGGCCACCCCATGTACAGGGCCCACATCTCTTTCCCCCTCGAGCCTGTTAGAAGCATCCCCAGGAGAAAGTTGGCCAGGAATTGCACTGACCACCACGTGGACCCAGTGGAAACCCATAGGGCCCGTGGGGTGGGGTAACTCTTAGTCCAGTTGGCCTGAATGACTGGCTAGAATGAGGGGAGATTTGGGGAAATGTGTCCAGACATAAAACTTTTTGGGAGGAGCCCCTGGGCAGACTGACCCTCAGCTACCAAGTCCGGTACCTGACGGCGTCCTCAGATGGCTACACGTGCCTGACCCCTTGACATGGGCCGGGGACCTGTCTCCACTCCTAAAGCATCAATGGACCGGCAGCCTGGAGAAGAACCACGCTGGCTTGGCCGATCTGGGGTCTGGGATATGGCTACTAAGAGTCCCAGTGGAGGCCCACTAGGGGCTCGCACCCAGGCTGAGTTTGCCGCATCTCACTCCGCTGGGCAGTGCAGGCTCACCGGTTACGGCCCCACCCTCTGGGGAGAAGGCCAGGGGTTCTCCCCTTCGTTTAGGGGAGAGGAGGGACAGTTCCAGCAGAGGACCCAGCCAGGCCAGGAGAGGGGACAGGGTGGTTTGGTGGGGGGCTGTGGGCACCCATCGCCCTGGAGCTGGCCTGGCTGTGCAGATTGGAGGGTGGAGACTGGGGTGGGGTGCAGGCCCACGTCCCATCTGGCCCTTCCCTGCCATTCCCCAAAGGGGCTGGTCAAGGGCCAGGCTTGGGCCTGAGCCACCACTACGGGCCCTACTTCACCCAGCACAGGGCCTGGCACTCAATAAATATGTATTGACCAAGACTGTGATAGCTTGAGGGGGTGGGGAAGGAGGCCCAGTGATGACTGTAAGTGAGATAAGTGGACGGAGGGTGTTGGTGCTTCCCTGAGATGGGAGATAGGCCGGGGAGCTGGCAAATACCAGCTCAGCACAGCCCAGCCCAGCCCAGCCCGGGGGCCAGGGTCCCGGCTCTGGAGTGCGTGGCCTTCCCCTAGACTTTCTCAGGTTCAGCCCACCCTGAGAAGGACCCAGAATCCTGCCTCTGGCCAGGCAGGGGGCCCAGTGGGGCTGGGGGCTCTTCCATGCACAAACACAACCTCCATCGGCGCTTGAGGTGCAGGCCAAGGGCTCTCCAGAGCTCACCACACCCTGGCCACCTCCCTCCCAGCCCGCCACCGCCTTCTGGCTCCCAGCAAGCTTAGGGTAGGCATGGCCCAGACACCCCCATCCCTGCCAGCAGCCCCTTGACCCTGGGCTCCCCAGAATTTCTTCTTAGCACCCCTAGTATGGTCACAGATGGCCCGACGGATGGACAGAGGCTGAGCCCAGGGAAGTTCTGCCCCGGGTCTGACTACAGCGGGCAGATGGACAGACAGACGGGGGACAAAAGGGCAGCGTGGGGGCGTACCTGCTGCAGGCCAGGGGCCTGGGTCGGGGGCTGTCACCAGCAGCAGCAGGGTCCAGGGCAGGAGAGACAGCTTCATGGTGCCTGCCTGTGTCTGCAGCCAGCGCAGCAGTGGCTGGGAGGTGGCGGCGGCTCACTCCCCACGCCCTGGCCCCGCCCCACGCTGCCGCCCCGCCTCACCCGGGTCCCCTCTCAAAGTCCACAGGTGTCCTATGCGCCCTACTTGCCCAGTTAGCACATTCCTGGCCCTTGGCCCGCGACTCGGGGAGAAGGCCCACGTCCTGAAGCCGGATGTCCGGAAGCTGCAGCTCAGACCCTGGATCCCACCCCGGAGCCTGCTCTGGGGAGCCAGGCCAGGCTCCTAAAGGGGATGGGATGCTGCAGTGGGGATGAGGCAGGGTTGTCCTTGCAATCCCAGGATTCCAGCCCCTCGGGTCCCAGGCCACAAGCCTGGCACCTCAGCTTCCCTGCAGGGAGCAGGGGGTCCCAGTTCCTCCCCACAGCCGGGTGGGGTAAGGGAGCAAGTGACTTCCTGCTGGTGCCTGCTGCAGGCCGGCTGTGTGGGCGCTGGGGGAGGGCTCCCTCTCAGGAAGGGTGGGAGCTGTCAGACACAGCTCCGTGGGAATCCCTTTTGGAGGGAGGAGGGGAAGGGGGAAGGAGGAGGGGAAGGGAGAGTTGGGGAGGAGGAGGAGGCAGGAGGTGAAGGGGGAGAGGGGGAGGGAAAGGGAGAGAGGGAGAGGGGAAGGAGGAGGGAGGGGCCTAGCCTCAGGCAAATTAACCCTGGGGGTGGGGTGGGAGCTGAGGCCAGGACCCCGGTCTCCCCTTGGCCTGGCTCTCTGGGCCCCTGGGTCAGTCTGAGGGCTCCAGACGTGCTTCCGCCTTGGGCTGGGGACCAGGAAAGGAGCCGCCCAGCCCCACCCGCCCCTACCCTTTCACTCTCGATATTTACATAATCTCTTCTTTGTATACCTTCCTCCTATTGGTGCAGGTGAGGAGACTGAGGCCCAGACAGGGAGGGGGCGGTTAGGTCACCGGGAGAGGCATCTTCTGGGAGCCTCCAAGGTCAGGGTATGGGGGGAACCCAGGCCTAGGACTCACTTGGGCTCTGCCACCTGGGCCCGGGGTCTGGACAGGCAGACAGTGGCGGTTTCTCAAGACGTCTGAAGGAGACAGGGTCCTGGGCCCCTCAGGGAACTGACGGTGGCGGGGCACAGGCTTTGGCCACATGACCGGCCTTGGCCGCGGAGGTCGGCCAGCCTTGTTCCCCGGTCACCGCCGCCTCGCAGCTGCTCCAGAGAGCTGGGCTGCCACAGGTGTCGGGAGCCAGCCGCGGGAGTTGGAACCAGAAGTCCCAAGTGGATTACTGGTTGTTCAGAGCACTTCTGTGGGCAGGTGCCCTGGGTGTGGGCACTGAGGTCCCCGGCCAGCCTGGGGGCCGGTGCTGGGACTCGCTCGGGCCCAGAGCACAGCTTAGGGAAGGAAGCTCCTGGGGAGGGACCGAGGTGTCCTGCGCCCCAGCCAGGAAGGGCCCTGGGAGATGGCTAGGCTGCTCCCAGGAAGGGGGTCTGTGGACGGGGGGAAGGAAGGTGGCCACCTCCTCTCCCCAGCCTGAGCCAGAAGCCAGGAGTGCAGCGTGGGGGCCCAGGGGGCTCAGCTGAGTAACTGCCGGTCCCCTCAGGCCCTGCGGCCTTGAGAAGGGCCTGAGTCAGTGCCAGTTCAGCGCCCTGGGTTCCCACATGGCTCTGCCGGGCCTGGGCTGGGGACCCTGCAGTGTCCAGCCTCTTGGGCCTTTCTTCCCAGGCAGTGGGGGGTGGGGGCACAGCGTCCAGCCCACGAGGGGCACAGCACAGCAAGAAGGGTCTCTGTCCCCTCCCCGGACAGAACGCCTTTCAGAGAAGGCCCCCAGAGCGGGACCGGCCCCCAGCTGTGGGGCTGGCGGCTGGGCCTCCACGGCACGGAAGGGCTTGACACTGTGAAGGGCAGGTGCTCCCACAGAACAGACGGGCTTGGAGCTGGGATGGTGGGGCCAACATCACTCTGCTGGGGCCCCACGTTTGTATCTCGCACCGAGCCCCCCGGCTCATGTGGCTGGTCCTGTCAGAAGGTGAGTATGGTGGGACGTCAGCGCCACCCCCTGCCTCAGGCCCCTCCCCAGGGTGCCCATCACATTGGGGTGCAAGCCACCTCCTCAGCACGGCTGGGACCCTCCTGACCCGGACTCTGGAGGGACGTGCCCTCACCCCTGTGCTCCTTCCAGGCCCGGCTGCTGTCTCTCCCGGGAGCGTCTGCCCTGTGTGGCTCCCGCCTGCTCCCCGGGTGCCTGTGGGTCAGGCCCTGACCTGGCCTGGGGGAGGAAGGCCCAGAAAGCCTGGACAGGGATCGCCACCCCAGGGGACAAAGAGGCCAAGACGACTGTTCCATCTTTATTAGAAAAGCAACCAAAAAAGGACCCTCCGCTGCCGTGACCCAGACAGAGCCCGTGGAGGGTGGATGAGGCCGCCTGGCTGGGGGCGGTCACGTTTACAAAGAAAATCACTTCATAAAAAAGGAGGCGGGCCCTGCTGGGCTCCTGTGGCCTGTGGCCCTGTGGTCGGGACGCCCCACCGGGCGGGGCGTGGGGGGGTGGTGGAGGTGGTGGTGCGTGGGGAGTGGCCCTCAGATGTCCATGTAGTCATCGTCCTCATCTGTCTCGCTCTCCAGCGAGGACTCCTGGCTCGATGTCTCCAGGACCTCCAGGGCCGGCTGGCACAGGCTCTCCTTCCTCACGTTGGCAGCCGACTGGGCAGACAGGATGGCTGACTGCACAGACCGGGTGAGGCAGTGGTCAGTGGCAGCCTGGCACCACCACCCCACCCCCCACCCCCAGCCCTGTGTCCCACCCAGGACCTGCAGTCACCTTCAGCTTCTGTTTGGTCTCCTCTGAGATGCTGCCTTTGGGCGAGAGCAGGGTCGGGGTGGGCGGCGTGACGGTGATCTCAGGGGGGAACTTGGTGGTGGCCGAGGGGATGACCAGCTTTGGCATGTTGGGCAGGAGGCGTGATTTGGCCCGGCTGGGCTCAGCCTTGCCCGGGTGGCCCTCGGGTGGCTGGGCACTCCCACCACTGGGCACCTTGGAGCTGGCAGCTGTGGGGTGGACCCAGTGGACTGAGCCGGGCTCTCGGCCTCCCGGGCCTGCCTGCCCCTCCCTTGCTTGGGGCTCATCCCCCGCAAACCCTGCACCACAGAGCCACCAAGACACCTCCTCTGGCAGCGTCAGACCGCCCTACCCTCTCTCTTTAGGCCTGTGCTGGTTGCCAGGCTCCCAGGCCTCCTCCTGTCTCTCTGCCTCCCCGAGGGCCTGGCTCTGGCTCTGGGCTGTGGGGCACCCCCAAAAGCACAGTGTTCACTGGGTGCCCAGGGCTGGGACACGGGCAAGCCCTGCACCTCCCAGGCATGCATGTGAGCTCTCAGACCATCCTAGTGAGGCAGGAGATAGACGAGCCCCCAGGGCGAACAGCTGGAGTTCGCTCCCCGTGGACAGATACTCCGAGATGAAAATAGCAGGACAATTGAGAAAGGAGGCTGGGCCCTGCCCAGATGAGGAATACAGGCCACATATTCCTCATTCTCAAGTCAAAGAGACCTTCCTGACTAGAAAGCTCCTTGGAGGTCAAAAGGGGAGTGATGCTCACTACCCATCTAGGTCTCTTCCCTAGAATCCATCTTGGCTAAGAGAGGCACGCACACAGGGGAGGGTCCTGAGATACACCAGATACGGACTTGGAAGCAGGCAAATCGAGATGATTGGCCAAAGGAAACCCGGAAGAAGTGCCCCATGTGATTCAAACTAGCAGGAGGGCGCCACTCTCTCTCTGAGCCCACCTGTGTGTCTATCCACGTGTACTGTGCACTTTTTCCTCCCAATAAACACTTTACTTGTTTCACTACTTTCCGTCTTTATGGGGATTCTTTTCTGCAAAGCCGAAGGGCCAGGGCCTTGTCACTAACCACTGGCCTAGTGGCTAGGGTTCAGCGCTCTCACTGGCCGGCAACCAAAACCCTGCTTCGAGCGGCTGCGGGCCGAGGCCACCTGAGATCACTAGGACACACATTCTATTGGTCATTCCCGCCACAGGGAGGATGCTAGGGCTCAGAGCCGGCCACTCAGCCAGCATCCACTTTCCCCTCGCGCCTCAGGATGAGCCGGAGCTGGGAGGCAGCAGTGTGGGCTGGCAGCCTCCGGGAGCCGCAGCCTGGCTGGTGTCCACATTCTTCCGCTGCTCCATGGCTTTAAAAGGAGCGGGGCTCACTCAGCCCCCATGCCCGACTCCCTCGGGCTGGCACCAAGCCCTGCTGTCCTGAGTGGGGTCTGCGAGAGGCCCCAGCCCTGAGGAGTCCCCGAGGGGCCTGGCTGGTTGAGGCGGCTGGTGGGAACGGGCTGTGACTCAGACACAGACACGGACACAGACATGACATGGATGCCCATCTGGCTCCGCCCAACCCGGCCGGCCCTCTGCCCACCCCTGCCTCCTCCCCGCCCCACGCCTGCCCCTCCCATGGACCCATCTGGGCACAGGCACCCCTCCCTCTCGGCTAGGCCACCTTGGCCTGGGCTCAGCACCTCCCGAGCTATTCCCCTCTGTGAGGCGGGAGTGGGGGGTCTCGGGCCCTTCCCTCCCCCGAGGAAGCTCTCCAGCCAGGCCTTCCCTGCCTGGCCTGCCTTTCTTGTCTACCTCACCCCCAGGCCCACTCCAGGCCCCTCTGTCGAGAAGCACCCGCTGACTGCTGGCCCTGGGGGCCGTGATGGGCTGCTCCCGACTGGCCTTACCCTGGCTGCAGGTGGGCTCAGCGCCTGTCCGGGGGACCGCCTCTGCTGGCCAGCAGTGCGGCTCTGCTGGAGGGCCCTCGGGGGCCGTCTTCACCTGCTCGCTGCACCGCGGCTCCTGGGGCAGGAAGCCCGTGCCCTCTGCCCCTCCTGCCAGCTCTTCTTCCTCTGTGGAGACACAGCACGGCTATGGGTGACACACCCCCCACCCTTGGGATAGGGGCCTCCACCTCCACCATGGCCGCGCAGGGGCTCCGCTGGAACAATCGCCCGGG